ATCAAGAAATACCCCTGACTGACACAAAGGGTCCCCACTTTCTCCTAAGAACCACAGATCTCAGAAACATATTCGTCAGAACTAATCTCAAGCCCTTGCTTTTCTCATCATTCCAAACCTTCACCTAAATCCTTCGATTGCTTAGATGATGTTGATGGTGATGTTTGTTGTTGTTTTTCCAGTTTCTCTGTGTAGCTCTGCTCACTCTGTAGACCAGGCTGGCCTGGAACTTAGAGATCTGCCTGCCTCTGCCTCCTGAGTGCTGAGATTAAAGGCATGTGCAATCAATGCCCAGCTCAGCTTTAACAAGAGACAGAATACCTACCATTAGGGTCTCCCTTCATCATGCTAGGTTACTGCTAGAGGCTAGAAATGTAAAACTGAGGTATCTACTTCCAGAAATCTTTTTGTGTTTGTTTCCAGACAGGGTTTCTCTGTGAAACAGACCTGGTTATCCTGGATCTCACTCTGTAGACCAGGCTGGCCTCAAACTCAGAGATCCAACTGCCTCTGCTTCTCCAGTGCTGGGATTAAAGGGATGCATCACCACCACCACCACCACCACCACCACCAACACCTCCTCCTCCTCCTCTTCTTCCTCCCCCTTTCCTCCTCTTCCTCCTCCCCCTCTCCTCCCTTTTCTTCTTCCAGAAATTTTAATAGTGACTACATAAATCATGAATGTGCAGCAACTTAGTAGTGGAGAATACAAACATTCCAATTAATTATCCTGCTATATATGCACAGAATGTAAAATCTGTCTAGAAATCTTCACACAAACAAGGTTTATCCTACATATAATCTCTTGTGTGGACAAAATCATCATTTCAACACTGCTCTAAGGCAACAGTGTGAATTCCTAAGTCAGCGAGAGTTGTTTTGAGACATGTAAACAGGAAGCAAAACTTGAGTGGCAACCTCTAATCTGCCCACTCCTCTTTATCCAACTCTAGACAGAGCTCACGCATCTGTGGGGACTTTGGTAACTGCTGTAGGTTAGGCCCAGAGCAGGGACCATTCCTTGTATGTCTTGAAAACAAAAGCTGAGGCTGCACTGCATAATAATTATGGAAACCTTCCCAGCATGCCCTTCTGTCCTATATGTGAGGGTAAATACTTGACTTCCCCAGTGATTTCTAAGAAGAGTCAAGTCATGAATTTTCATACATCAGTCCCTTAAGTATTTTAATGATTGAATATTACTTAAGTATCTCCTTGCTGTTTAAATTGTTAGCTATTTCTGCCCTTGCTGTTCTAGAGCCATTGAAAAATATTCCACCTATCATGCATGCGGCTTTATTTATTGTTAAATTACTTCAACGTCTCCCAGATTCTATTGGCTCAAGGGTATGAACATTTCAATGATCTTGATACATTTATGAACTATCACTGTCTCAAGAGATTTATCAGTTTACCCTGCTTCCCAAAATACAGAGCTGAATCTGACTTGAGCATTTCACAATAGTATTCACAAACATATCGTAGTTCCGTAATTGTAAATGTACCCTTCACATGAAAAGCCTACGCCAACAATCACTTTTAGAATCTTCACTTTTTGGTCTTGGATTACTTGATATGGCAGCAAGTTAGATGGAGGCTGCCTGGATTCAAAGCTACCCTGACCACATGGCAGCTGCAGTTTTCAGGCACTTAGTCACTGTGCTCAACACTTCTGCCTGTATATGAACACCTTCCTTACAGGGTTTTTCTGAGAGCTAATTTCATGACGCCCACCGTCTTAGTTATGGCTACTATTGCTGCAATGAGGCACCGTATTTTTTAATGTATGCTTATTTATAACTGTGTTTATGTGTGTGTGTGTGTGCATGCGCCACAGCATACATCAGAGGATAACTTATGGGAGTCAGTCCTCTTCTTCTGCCTTTCGGGTTCTGGGGATTGAACTCAGGCCAGCAAACTTGGTGGCTAGTGCCTTTGCTGAGCTGTCTTGCCAACCCTAACAATTTTTAAATACTGTTGCATTAACAATGACTTATGCAGAAAACTCATGTTCTTAAATTTGTGTCCTTGGGCCCGTCATTCATCATTGGTCAATGCTGGAAGATGCTCCAGTCTATCTGCATATGTAGTATTTAGCTTATTATATGGATGGATCTGGTCCCTAAGAATGCATATACAATGTTGCAGTAGTCTCAACATGGAAGTCACTTATTTCTCTCCTTCCACTAATAAACTTTTCTTAGCCTGGCCAGATGCTCATTTTTTTTCTATTATTCATGTCTGTTACCCTTCACATTCCTATTCTCCTGATATACATCATGTTATGGGAAAGACTTTAGCTCCATCCTCCACTGATTCATTATCTGTACTCAGTCTTCTATTTGGCTCAGTAACAGACTTCACTTTGATGATTAATTCATTGGGTGAATGTTATTGAAGTTCCTAATGATGGCAAAGACCAAGAAACTTTTGTGGTTCGCCCATCTTTGGGAGGATTGCGACATCCCCTGATCCCAGCACGTTGCTGTCTTTTTCATTGTGTAGGATTTGCTTGTCTACCCATCTTTGTTGTTTGAGGTAAACCATTTGGGGTTAGTGGTCCAAAGAAGGTAAGCTAGCTGTGTTGACCATGGGACATCTGGGAACATACTGCCCAATGTGAGGAAGTTTGTCTCCGGGTAAAGGATCTTGATTCCATAGAACAGAGTCCTTGTAAAGTAGGGTGAATCCTTCCTGGCCCAACACTCATATTCAATACTTTGGCCTGAGAACATCTGCTGTTTCTGTCTACAGCAGAATTCATACCCACCCTCCCTGAGTTTACCAAGACCATCTCTGAGTTTGGGGTGAGGTGTGGGGTGTTCCCTGAGCTATCTGCCTACCATTCTCCTCTTCTGAAAAGCCAAGATTTCCTTTGGCCTAAGATGCCAGCTTTCACTTAGACCTGAGATGTTCTCAAAAGCACCTGCCAATTCCTGAGGCTCTGATCTCATAATGCAATCTTCATTGCTTTCCTTTGCATTATTATTATTTGAACTTGGGGACAAAGCAGTGATTTGCTCATTCCATAATCTCCTTCCTTGGCTGGAACTTTTTTCTTCCCATCAGGACGAGTCTCACTATGTAGCCCAGGTTGTCCTTGAACTTGTGATCTTGAGTAATGAGATTACAAATGACTGTCACATCAGTCAGTGTTTAGTACTTATTTCAGCTCTGTTCAGGTGTCAGTCTTTGACCCTTTAAACCTGTCTGAACTGCTGGCGCAGCTGGAGAACCCTCAGTGGGGTTTGGAAATGATCTTAGTTACTCCTGTAAGTATCAGGAGGAAAGTACAAGGAGTGCTGTGGGGTTCCCTGTCCTCTTCCCTGAAGCATCTGAGTCAGACGTAGAAGAATTAGACATGCAGACAGTCGTATAAAGTAGCAAATTAGATACTTTAGCTAAAAATATTGCAGCTATGATGGGGCATCAGTACCTAAGGTGGTAAGTCAAACAATTTAATTCTTTGCTTTCCTCTTTGATAAGACACATAGAATATACAGTAAGGAAAACTCAGACTTTAAAAAAAGCTATAAACTGCTATAAAACATCTGCCACAAAATCAGAATAAATGATATACAAGGCCCACAAACTTCCATTGGTGTGTATGTATGCATACATATATAGAAACCATTCAAAGCCCATCTTCATATGTAGCACATATGAATACATTAAATATGTGGATTCACTACTGAGGGACTACTTTCACCATCTGGTATCTTGAAAAATTATAGGTAAATCATTTACACACATTCCCATTTTAATAGGCACTTAGCAGTATTTTTAATTACAAGAAAGTTTAACAATTCAAAATTATTGTCCTGGTAAAGATAAAAGTATGATTAATAAGGTGGCACTGGGTAATTTACTATCCACTCACTGGCTGCTTTCTGTGAACACTTTCTTTGTTAATGGTGTTGGAGAACTAAGCCAGGACCTGGCACATGCTAATTTTCAGGGGCTAAGTTGCCCACACTGGCCTAAACTCAGTGTCTTCCTGCTTCAGCCTCCAGAGTCTCTGAGATGTAGGCCTGCATTGACAGATGCTGTGGATGGCTGTCCCCAGGTTAACTGTGGGTCTGAGTGGGGTCTTCGAGTCTTTTCAGTTGCAGCCAGTCCTGAAGGAGGGATTTACGGGCGTGGAGGTGTGTGCCTGGAATTACAGCAGTTGGAGTCTGAGGCAGGAGAACAGCAGGTTTGAAGCCAGTCTGGGCCACAGTGAAATCTGATCTGCAGACAAAACCAAAACAGTATCCAGGAAACCTTAAGGAACTGGAGACAGAAATCGTCAAGTGTGTACATCAAAGATGCGCCTTGATGGGGAAGAATGTATGCAGAATTTTATCTTTGAGTTTTAAATTCACTAGACAAGACATATTTTTAGTGTATTTAGAAAGAAGAACGTCTTTAATCTAGGGATGTGGGGTTTTTTTGGTTTTTAGAGACAGGGTTTTTCTGCATTGTTTTGGAGCCTGTCCTGGAACTCGCTCAGTAGACCAGGCTGGTCTCGAACTCACAGTGATCCGACTGTCTCTGCCTCCTGAGTGCTGGGATTAAAGGCGTGCGCCACCAACGCCCAGCGGGATGTGGGTTCTTTAAAAGTTAAAAATCAATGCTTTAGACATTGTTGTTAGATCTGAAGCCTCAAGACTCACATTCTTTGTTTATAAAGTGTTTTTAAAACCACAGCTTGCAGGGTGTGGTGGCACACACCTTTAAACCCAACATTCAGGAGACAGAGGCAATTGGATCTTTGTGAGTTCAAGGCTAATGTGGTCTGCACAGTGAGATCCAGGACAGCCAAAGCTATGTAGAGAGACCCTTTCTCAAAAAACACCAACCCCATTCCTCCTCCCCAAAAAATCCATTAACTTAAGTCTCATGCCACAAGACTGGAAACCAAACACATGTGTTCTATACTACATATAATATATAGCTTAGTCCCTGTATTGACTTTTTTTCTTTTTTGACATCACTTTACAATTTAAGGGGAAAAAGTATTAGGAATTTAGCTTTTATTCAAAATTAAATAAGCAAAAGCAAAAATTTTAAGAAATTTGTACAAATTACTTACATAAAAGAAAGTTAATAGAGACAGTCACAAATCTGCAACGAATAATTATAAAAGGGCTAGGGCAGCATGGATATAACCATGTCACAGCACGGGGCTCTAACTGTGATATGAATAAGGCATAACTAACATTTGCACCAAGACCAGAGTAAAAACAAAACAAACCTTACAAGCTTAGTTCTACGTTAAGCTCCTCCTCCCCCAGATCCTCAACGGATTATGCACTACCTAATCCCATAAATACAAGTTATCATGTCAAACCCTAAATGACAGAGACGGGCAGTTAATGTGAAAAGCCCCCTAGACTGTACAAGCTAACGGGTTGAATCGAGTTCTCCACCTACCTTTATGTACATTTGAATGTAAACCTTATTTTCACAGTTTTCAGAGTTTTATAAATGGATGCACAGTACCATGTCAGGTCTGCAGTTGTTCCTGGAGACTGGCTCTAGATTCTGCACCCCTGCCTGCTGGCCACGGGGATGCAAGTATTTACATAAATAAGAAACTGTGTCATAGTCAATGGCCAAGACAGTTCAGCAAGAGCAGGATTTCCAACAACAAAAAATGATACTCTGTACCATAGTTTATATACTTGTGCAAAGAGAAGCATCAGGACAAATAAATCCGAGGCAAATTCAATCCGCGAAAACTCCTACGACTACCGTTGTAAACTTGGGCACAAGAGGACCCTCAGCAAGTTCACTCTCTATGGCTTTTTTTTTTTGTCTTTTAAAATTTAAAGCCAGAGAAAAAGCACTCACACTTCCCACACAAACACACATGTGCACACACACGCACACACATTTGCATTCACACAGGCACACTTGCATTCACACAGGCACGCACACACCATACGCACACGGAGTACTTAGTTCAGTTACAGTATGGTACATAGTGCAACTTCATCACAATGTAGAGGTTTAACACACATTTCATGTGTGTTTTCTGTGCAAGTTCTTAGTGGTCTGGGACCTAGTTGAAGGTATTCATTTGCAGATCCACGAGATTCAGGAGGTTGAAGAAAAACAAAAAAAAATGTTTCCTTAATTTCTTAAACCAGCACTGGGTGTGCAAAGGCAGCGGACAATCTGGCCTACAACGTGGCCAGATTAGGGTAATTTTAAAATGAGATCCAACCGCTTCTCAGCCTCGGGGCTAAGAGCAAGCTTGGTGAGATCCAAGCAGTTCCTTACTTAGACTGGTCTCTAGAAAAGTAAGTCAGGATATGCTGTATCTTTGTCAGCCGTTCCTCCAGGGACTTCATTGACAGCACGGAGAGCTGATACCGAGGGTCTACAGGAAGGACTGCCAGCAGCCACCAACACCATGCAGGGCCATTGGGGGTTGCCTAAAACCAACCAAACGGTTCAGACTGTTAAGAGGATGTAACAGTAGAAACTAACCTACATGCCAGGTACTATCAAAGCTCTTCATCGTATAAGGCAGGCGATTACTGAGCCCACAGACTCTGAGGAACAGTGATATAATCATCCATGGTCTCTCAGCTCACATATGCTATGGAGTCAGGATTTTAATCCCGCCCGGACTCCACAGTCAACTGTTTCTGTGTCAATGCAAGGTCAGGCTCTGGGCCTCCAGTTGCTGACATCTGGGATCCTTCTCTGTGAGCCACAGTCCCACACTCTGCAGTCCACCAGCAGGTGCCTGGGATTGGCACCCACTAGACACGAATGTACCTCTCCAGCTCTGACAGTCAGAATGCCTCCAGATAGCCTCAGATGCCCCACAGGGCCAAACCTGGCTATTTAAGACACTATTTCTGTTACTTTGAAATTCTTACTCGAAAATTAGAATCCTCAAAAAGAAAAATAACTTGGCTTCCCATTTTGAAAATCCTGACGTGTTTCTGGCAAGGCAGTTCCTGCATATTTCAGGAACAGTACCAAGACAACACATCGACACAACAGGATTCGGAACCCTCCCTTACTGCTGTTCACTGCACTGGGGTTCACAAGGCATGAAACACCAACTTTCAGAAGGACAAAGGAACCCCGATAGTGCTTACAGGATGGTTCCATGTATTGTCTGTTCTCAACTCTGCATCATGTCTACTCCCGTCTACCTCCCAGAGACTGCTTCCCAGACTCCTCTCCTCCACCACTTGCCTCCAGGTTAGGCTCCACCAGGCCAATGGCACCCTTAGCATGCGCAGAAACTGGAAAAGAGGTCATTATTCTCTGGAAACTCTTGCAAAGTGTGTGTGTGTGTGTGTGTGTGTGTGTGTGTGTAGGTGTGTGTGTGTGTGTGTGTATGGAGGGGTGTTCCAAAGAATTCTGAAGAACCACCTACTCTACTGCTGCTGACTGACAGACAGATGTGCACTCCCTGGGGCCCTACAACTGTATCTTTGCCCATTTTGGTGTTGATACAACAAAATGTGTAACACTGGACACAGCATGGGTCCTGTCCTCAGAGGAAGAGAACCCCTGGGATTTGACGGGCTCAGAGCCATCTTTGAAGAATGGAATGAGGGGTGGGATCTACTACCGATTGATCTTTGCATATTTACATCTATTCCACTATGAAATTACCATCTTTTAACCATAAGTATTTTTGTTCAATTCATAACGTTGTGCCTAACACTGGTTCCTCCATGGGTCTGTGATTGGATTCCCCAAGGTAAGGGACTCCTTATGGTTTCTGCAATTGCTGCTGCAGAGCTCCACGCATGGAAGGCATCTAAACCACATTACTAATTAGGTTCAGTTTTAATGTAAACCCCCAGTACTTGAGCAGGACCCCGAGAGTGATAGTTTTATGATACGGGAAATGTTAAACACAAATAGTCAAAAGTGAATTGAAATGGGGAATAAAACATGGGATGAAAGGAGCGGTGAGCAGACTTTTTAAAATCATGCATCTCTCAATATCAGAGTGACAGCTCATGTCCTTGTAGTGAGTTTAATGGAGGCTACATCCCATTTTAAATCTTTCGACCCTCCAGAAATCCTCAGACAAGCCCTCCCTCCCTCTGTGACCCTCTTTTCCTATAGGCATCCTTACGTATACTACATGGAGTAGACACCAGTGCTCTAGGGAATACACTCGTAATTCTGAAGACAGGGTCAAACAAAATAAAGCAAGGGAATGAGTAAAGCTATTCATTAGAAGTTAATGAAAAAGTAAGATCGTCAGTAGCAACACCCAAGTCTTCTTACCTGAAGGTTTTCCTCCCTTTCAGGCATTGACCCAAAGTGTTGAAGGATTTGGCTTCGAAATCTGTCTCTTAGATTCTGAAACCAGGTGCAGGCTTGCGAGTACACCAAGTCGTGAAGCTCTCTCAGACTCTGTATTTCATCTCCATTCTCAATCTAGAAAGAGCAGTCGGTGAGATCTATGTCCCGTTCCCTAGCCCTTAGCATCAACCACACGGAACACAGGAAGCATTGAAGAATGGAGGACCGTCCGCATCAGTGCTGGGTGATCAGAGTGACAGCCTCTTGCAATAACAGCTTCCTTTTCTGCCTTACAGGGTCCTAACAGAACTCACTGGAAAGAGCACGGCCTGATCTCCACTGAGAGCAGGCAGCAGCCTGACTGACAGCCTAGGAAAGGATGGTGGACAGTGAGTTTTTTCAAAGGTCTACACAAATTTGGAATAAAACAGTTGCTACAATAAAAAGAAAAACGGGTCACCGAGGGTACAAACCACATGGCATAAGGTAGTATCAGGAGCATAAGCACATCTTCTACCGGAGAACTGGGTCAAAACACAAAAACAAAGACACAGCAAATGTGTGTCCCCTAAATCGGCAAATCAAAAGGTAGAGGATAGAGTATGCAGTTCTCAACTTCTGCCATAAAGGCTGTGGGTCCCTGCATTAGCCCCTCCACGAACCCTTTAGACCACCAAATGGTGACTGTACAACGAAAAGCATCTTCCAGCCAGGAGACTCACAGAACACAGGCGGACGATCAAGGAACCCGTCCATTTTCACAGGCTTTACCACGTTCCAGTCCCACTGGCTGAGGGCCTGGATATGCTCTGATACAGGTACCCTAATTCATTTGAACAAACAGCAGGCAGGTGACTGCAAGACAGTTTCCCAGGTAAAGGGGCTTGCTGCAGAAACTAACGGCTGGCTGGGGACATACATGGTGAAGGCAGAACTAACTTCTAAAAGTTGTCCTCTGAACTCCACATGAGTACCCCGGCACATGAGTGCTACTGATGGATGGATGGATGGATGGATGGATGAATGAATGAATGAATGAATGAAGCATTTTTTAAAAAGCAGGCTGATTCACACTTTCATGTTTCAAAGGATGACTAACAAAAAACAATAAAGGGACTCAGGAAGATTTTGAAATGCAAAAGACACAAGACACAAAAGGCCACTCATGTGATTTCTGAAAAAAAAATGAAAATTGAAACTAAGCATTAAAATCAGTCGTGATTTGTATAACATGATATATCCATGAGCCATGCTCAAAAATGTTAAAACAGTAAAGAGCTGTGCATCTGACAGAAAACCAAAACCAGCCAAGAAGTAAACAGAAATTTCAAAGGCAAGCGTTTTTAAGGTTAAGGGCATTCTATAATAATTAAATAGAGCTTAAAATTTCATTAGACATTACATAAAAGAGAATGTAATAAGAAAAGGTAAATAATAAAATTGAGATCTTCCAGACCAGAACAGACAAAAACAAAAGCAAAAAGCCAAAGCATATGAAAGGGTAAAAAGGAATTGCTAGACATAGATATGACCAACGACAAGAGCTCAGGCACCCAAACATGGCACCAGCATCTAAACACACTTCCTGTACGCTATCCTACTGGATATGAGCTTCAGCCATACGTGTTCAGCTACACACTCAAGGGATTTTGCCATCAAATGTGATATATTATTATACACATTTACCTACAATTAAACAAGGTTCATGAGTTTTTACAAAGAACATGTCACAAACTATTCCATTAGCCAGGTACACTAAGACAAAGTCAATTAATAAAATTTATCAATCAATTAAAAGTTTCAATTCACTCAACATTCTTCCCAACTGAGAGAACACACTGTCCCCATGACATCCTTGTTGTTTGTTTATTTGAGACAGGGTCCCTCTATGTAGTCCCATCTGTCCTGACACTCACTATGCAGATCAGGCTGGCCTCAAACTCAAGAGATCTACCTGCCTCTGCCTCCTCCCACATGACATCTTTGTAAGAGAGAACAGGCAACATCAGGACAGTCAGGCCTGTCACCAGAGAGGCAGCATGGTGCAAGAAGGCACAGTGTGTGGAGTCAGTCAGCCGTCAATCACTTCCGTTACACATCACAGGTTCCTGGGCAAAGCAACAGCTCCCACTCTTTCTTCTGCTGTTAACTGTCTCAGAGTTGTGAAAACTCTAAGAACTCTGTGTGAGGATGCCCTGGCCCAACAGACTGAAATGAAGTGCCAAAATAGACCAGTGAACAGCACGACTGTAAGACCTGTGTTTTACCCTACCTTTCAATTTGCTACTGAAAACAGCAACCACTTTCTGCTACTTTAATTCCAGACACTAAACTGGGTCCTGAAAACATCAAGAGACTACATCAACCCTGTCTAAGAGAGATGTTGGCCACCATAACCTTCCTTAGGAAGTTACCAGCAGCCTGTATACACTGGCAATGTCTGATCTAGGACATGCTGTCATTTTAAAGCAGCATCCAGTTGTATTTATTTCATAATTAAGATTGTCTCTGACCCAGGAAAAACCCTAACACATGGAGCAACCATTAAAGAATTTTGTATTTACTTTCCCATTAAATTTTAATCTATGAATGAGGAAAGTTTTAATTATTAATGAATCAAATAAAATAAGGTAGAGATTCACAAACTGAAAACTTCGATGAGCTGGAAGTTCAGTCTAGTCAACTGCTGCTGTTAAGTGAATACAGTATGAACAAGCGTAAGCAGGATCTAGGCACCATACCGTCTGGGATGCCTGGAACATGAGGAGGCTGTAGATTCTCAGCCCCATGTTCTCTTGAATGGGCAAACGATTCACCAGCAAGATAAAGGAAAGGCAACAGGAGCTAATCCTTACAATCAGCAATGATGACTAAAAGAACGGTTCCTGCCGGGCGTTGGTGGCACACGCCTTTAATCCCAGCACTTGGGAGGCAGAGGCAGGCGGATCTCTGTGAGTTCGAGGCTGGGCTGGACCGATAGCCTCCAAAACAATACAGAGAAACCCTGTCTTGTAAAAACCAAAAAAAAAAAAAAAAAAAAAAAAAGAATGGTTCCTGTGACTAGAACACCTCACCTTATGTAGGTACCAGGCCCTATGATGCAGCAGACCAGAACACATCAGAAAAGAACATTTTTAATACCTTAACATCTTCCAGATATTCAATGTCTGCAGTGCAATATCCATCTTTCATTCCTCTTTTTAAAACTCTAAACCGCTTTCCTCCAACCGTGTCAACCACAGACCTTCCATCAGGTAAGAAATGCACGTTTCGAATTTGTAACATACAACCATAATCTGCAAAACTAAAAGGAAAACAGCGTTTGAGCATAAGTGTGTAAAGCCTCATTCAGACACAAAGGGAATTCCAGTGTAAACAAAGATATCAAAGATCACAGGGAGTCTACCTGTTCTGTGTATCGCTGACACACATCCCGAACTGCTTGGTTCCAGTCTGTATGCTCCTTCGAATCATGAGCCTGTATCTGGGCTCAAATACATGGAGAGGGCAAGGCACAGTGGGGTAGGCCATAGTGCAAACAAATATTGGGACATTCTTGGTCAAGCTGAAGGAGAAGAAATCTCATTGTCATAGACCGAACCAGATGGCAGACACATATCAGGCTTACAACAGAAAAAAAAGGATACAAAACCAATAACAACAAAATCTATTTTAAGTATGTGCTCTCAATTCCTGGCTAGAACAGGAAGCAGTTTCCCTCCCTCAAGTTCACATTGCTGCAACCCTGAGACTGAACATCTCATTATGTCCCTCTTATTTATAACCTTGAATTCTAAAACAGTAGGCATCAATATAGAGCCAGCTATTTTTAAGAATCAAAAGGAAATTTATCATAACTAGCATTTTACATTGAGAGCTTTGTTTAAAATATTCACAGTGCAGGACAGAGTTATAGCTTTTACCCATAAAACATGAAGAAAAAAATGAACTCCTAAAATGGACAAAAATTCTTAAGCATATTTTCAAGCTATCAGTGGAGAAATTAAAAAAATGTTTTTGCCAGGTAACTAAAATGACAGTTGTCTCTCCTCTGCCAGACTGTGAGCAGTAATAGGGCAAGGACAATGCCTAGGTGCTGGAAATGCACACCCAAGCGCTGGGCTCCTCAGCAGAAACCCTGCAGGTGTGGGGGTAGAAGTGTTCATGTTTCCTTTTAGAAACAACCCTACAGATGCAGAAATGCATTTCACAGCAGCACTACGGGGAGTAGCTGGAAGCTGGCAGTTGGAAGAGGAGACGCTAGAGTTACGAAGCTGAAGATGGAGTGCCACGCTGTCCACTAGGAGGCCCAGGGCTGCACTGACTCACAGGGTGACCCGCACTGTTTAGAAGAGGACAATGGGGAACAATGCAACCAGCATGGTCTATGTCTGCTCAAGTAAACTTCAATAAGGTTGTGGAGCGCACACTCCAGGCCTATAGCTTCGCTTCTGATCCCTTTACCTGTTGCTGCTACATGACTACTAATGACCTAAGGTATATGATGCTTAACACAAAGGCCAAGTTAAAAAACAGCCCTACTAACAGGAATGGATGTCCCTAGCTTCTTGACACCACCCTCAGCTTGTGCAACTTCCTCACTTTCTCCTAAGGGTGGGCTGCCTTCGCCACTGTGCTTCTTATCTGTAGTGTTACCACATCTCTCTAATCTAGGTTTCTGTGGAGTATCAGAGAGAGCCAGAGTCTTCATCCCTGTATCTTCTATCATAAAATAGCAGTTTCTTGTAGGCATCTTGCCAGTGAACCTGTAGTGGGGGCCACACTCCCTTTGGGCGGACAGAAGCCCAAGGAGGGAAGAGTAAGGTGGTCTGGCTTGCATGGTCTCTTTTTCTACTTGGGTCAGCAGATCGGAGAGGAAGAGCAGAGAAATGCTCCCGTGGTTCATTATTATCTGGTAAGTGTTCCCATTTGTCATTAATCTTGGGTCTAATGAAATCATTACACCTTCGCCTTCATTTTCTTGGGAGGACAAATCACTAATGGGCTGTAAAGGAGAGCGAAGGAACTTTTGTGCTGAAGGCCACTGACCTCGGAAGACTTTCCATAGGTGTGCCTGGGTAAATACAAGTACCCAAGCACAATTCCTTCTCTTTCAAGAGTGAGAAGTCCGGATGCTCCACTTGTGTTTTGAAAAGCAATAGAAACAAGCAGCTGCTAAATAGTAACAGCACACAAAATTAACAATGTTCTTCAATGTGTTTAGTCGAGAAGTGAAGCAAACAGTTAAGAAATTAAAAACCCATCAAAGAAATTCAGAGAGATACAAGTGACTGATCAAAATGGCAAAAATATTCAGGGAAAGGGAGAGAAGAGCGAGCTGGGCAGTGGGGACAGCTGGGAGCACCCCCAAAGTCACCCCTGGATGTTTCTCATTCTTCTACTAACCTGGATGCCCTCCCTACTGGTGTCTTTACTGAGAATTTGACCCCTAAGGCATTCCTTCCTATTTCATTCCCACCCCATTCCAAGTCTCTAGCCTAGAGGTTCTCAACCTGTGGGTTATGATCGCTTTGAGGGTTGAATGACCTTTTCACAGGGCCACCTAAGACCATCAGAAGACACAGATTATGCTTCATAACAGGAGCAAAATTACAGTTCTGAAGTAGCTGTATAAACTGTATTAAAGGGTTGCAGCATTGGGAAGGTTGAGAGCCACTGCTCTAGCCTGTTAAAATCCCTGCTAATGCGGGCTGATGATCCTCCTGTTCCAGGATGTGGGAAACCAGTGTTTGCACCTACCGTACCTAGTTCATCTCTACCCCATTCCCCTGCTAGGATTTCCCTCCATAATCTCTAACACTGCTTCAGCCCAAAGAGCTGCCTTGGTGACGCCCTACAGAACACCTGGACTCTCCTGGTGGCGCTTCCACGATCCCATGGACTCAGGACAGGACACCTGATCAACAGTTAGCTAAATATGCCTTTGTGCTAGACTGGCTGGCTGGACCCAGCTCACTCAGGGAGGGTTGGTTCTCTGGCTGCTTTCGTAATCTTGGGTAACTGAATAAGAGACTTACTGCGAGAGCTCGGCAGTTTCTTCATCATAGATTTTCTTCCTCTCAGACAGCTCAGCCGGCAGATACTTCACTATCAACTCCTCCAACAGCTGGGTGACGCAGTACCTCCTGTCTGCTAGATACTAAGAGACAGAATTATTCCACATTCCAGCGGCTGCTTTCCTACAGTATAAAGCAGGTGAAACAGTTTAACTGAGAGATCAAACCTTTGCTGTAGACTGACACTCTGGATTCTGACTGTATTTAATTAGTGAGGGGAACCCTGCAGTTCATGGAGCTACACAGTAAAGCTGCCTGGGCCTCTGCTCCAGCGTGACAGACTGGAGACGCAGCTGGAAACAAGCCCACATGTAAAAACTGTCCTGCCATGAGCACCACTCTTATTGGCAACAAGCAACCGAGCCCCTGCCATCTCCCACAACACGAGCCAATTCCTAAGAATTTCTAAGAAGCCAAAGGAAGATGTAGATGAAGGAAGCAATGCACTTGTCTTATTTCAGAGACACAAAACAATCCCTGTTTGTCCACTTTCAAAGATAAAAGCTCCATGTGGCTTTGTCGTTGGGAGTGCTGCTTCTGTCTCGGTGAGATAAGGTCTCACTGTGTGGTTCAGGCTGGCCTGGGACTTGAAGTTCTCCTGCATCAGCTCCCCAAGCAGTGGGATTAGAGGCACACACCACCAGTCAGCCCTTAAACTTTTCTCTTAGGGTTTCCTTCCATTGTTACCATCACCGTCTGCATGGGGATGCTGCTTTCTCTGTGATCATCCCCACCTCTGTGTAAATGGTACGTTTGTGCTCCTCTAAACGCTCTGACAAGCTGCTACCCACACTGCTGATACACTCATAAAAAAAAATCCACCTCAATCTTGTCTATGACAGCTCTCTCGGGTCAGGAGCTGACTGCATGCTTATGACGTCTCCCTTAATTTCTCTTTACCTTACACTGAGTATTTTACTGTTTTTACCACAGTGAAGGGGTACATCCACCCCTACACTGTATCATGTGGATATGGATACATACGTTTCTGTAATTAAACTAAAAGTTGCTTACGACCAGGGACATGCTCAGAGTATGTACACAAAAAATACACATGTATTAAATACAAGCAGTCAGAAAGAACTCAGAAGAGAGGCCATCCTTCAATCTGCAGAGCCAACAAAAACAGCAGTTTCGCCAAGTGCCAATGGAGAGCACGCCGGGAAGCCTAAGAGTTCGGGAAGGTAGGGAGCTGTGGAAGTAGTTTTCAGCGTTGATAGGAAACACATTGCTAGACAACCCCAGCCCCCCAGGATTCGGACTTAGAGGGTGTAGTGTAGCAAGTTCTCAGATGACACAGGTGCTACCAAGCAGTGGACACCCTAGAAGAGGTACTGGATTTACGACTCCAGAAGGACCAGGGCAGTACTCCATCAGTCTGTGTGTGGACAACAGGAGTTTATCACGACACTTCTAAGAGCGGTCTTCTTACTATATTCCGTAGAATTCATAAAGATTTCTGAAAACACGAATGTTTACACAGTTACAGCTGATGAAGCCGTGCCTTACAACCCTGGGAGGAGTATAAATTTGTGTAGCAGCTGCAGGGGACTAGGCAATCTGACAAGTGGTTCTTAGGTGCATTATAAAAATACAGCCACTGATCCAGTGGGTCACCTCCTAGGAACTTAGCTAAGGATACTGTCAAATAGCTAAGATCATTCATTTACAAAGGGACAGACCAACCGCAGACTCTGTAACAGGGAAGTACAGCCATTTTATACTCGGCTGCTGCAATGTTCCTGTCTTTAAACCACACTTAATGGGGAACTGACTATGGCAAAATGCAAGCAGGAAATTTGCAAAACTGTAGAGCATACCACTATTATTTTCAAATTCTATACTAGTTATATTTACACTTTGCAAATGGTACAACATAAGGTATCTTCAAAGTTAGAATCAGGATAGATATTTTTAAATACCTAGTTATACATTCAAATGGTATGTTCAAGGTTTCTTTCAAACTGCTAATACTTTTAAAGACAAAGTATTTCTAAATAAGAAATGAATTGAATAATTAACTGGAAAACAGGAGCAATTATAGTGCAGATTATCTAAAGTATGGAAAAAATAGCATGTTTAGCATAGTTTATCCAAAAACACTGAGAAGCTGTTACAATTGGTAAACCCTTCAAGAGTGACTTTATTTTAGATTTCTTGACTGTGCAAACTGTGTGTGTGTGTGTGTACATATTTGTGCTTTCAACATACCAGCTTGCTATGTAAGACACATATCAGATGTAGCAACACACACCACTGTGTTTCCACACAGGTGTTTTTTATATAGAAAATAACTACACTCAAAAAACTTTCATTCATTTAATTCACTGGAGGAGGACACTTTTCTCTGTACAAGATACAGGGAGACATGCTCCCATGGATGCATGTTCCCAGTGATGCAGTTGCTACATAGTACCATGGAGCTTGAGCCCCACTTAGCTGATCCTGATGGAGGGGTTCAGGAGACAGCACTGAGCCCACCTGTCTCCTCACCGTGTGCTAATGCTGATCTGATTCTGAGACAATGGATACTTCCTGCTTTCTTCTACCCCAGCACTTCTTAGAGCTGTTCTGCCCAGTGTAACAAGCATTGGTCACTGTGCCTCAAGCTTTAGTTCATTAAACAAAATGAAAACCAGTCCCTCAGACACTCTAGCCAGTATTCAAGTGCTTCAGTAGTGACATGCCGTTGGTGGCCACCCAACAGGATGGTAAAGCTGGAGCATTTCCACCTTTTGAAGGTTGTACAGGGCAGTTGCTCCAGGTGATATGGGTTCTGGAACAGGGTGAGATGCAGGGCAGCAGAATTTCCCTAGGAGTGTCATCATTAAAATTAAACCTTCCCCTGACCAGGCAGTGGAAAGGGCTCTGTCTTTAGGACCTGTCTCTTCCCAACTCTCAACTTCTCTTTTCCTAAACAACATGGTGTCTTACTTAAGATTTCTATTGCTGCAATGAAACACCACGACCAAAAAGCAAGTTGGGGAGGAAAGGGTTTATTTGACTTACACATCAGCATTGCTGTTCATATTGAAGAAGTCAGGACAGGAATCAAACAGGGCAGGAACCTGGAGGCAGGAGCTGATGCAGAGGCCATGGAGGGATGCTGCTTACTGGCTTGCTTCCCAGGCTTGCTCAGCCTACTTTCTTGTAGAACTCAAGACCACCAGCCCTGGGATGGTGCCACCCACAATGGGCTGGGTCCTCCCCGTACTAAATGAGAAAATGCCTTACAGCTGGATCTCATGCAGGCATTTCCTCGGCTAAGGCTCCTCCCTCTGATGACTCCAGCTTATGTCAAGTTGACACACAAAACCAGGCAGTACAATTCGTAATAAGCAGTGTGCTTAGTCAGAATATATAATGCACCTCACTTTGAAAATGAAATCACTCTTTCTGTGGCTGAATAGAAACCAAACCATCTTGCCAAACTTCAGGCCAATAAACAGATAAAATGCACATTTACCTCTTTTAAGCTCTCTTTGCAGAGCGGACAATATGGCGTGTGGTCTAAACAGCGCTCAAGACAATTCTTACAGAATGAATGTCCACAAGGGGTTGTTACTGGCTCAAAAAACAACCTGAAATCAAACAGAGTACCTGTTAGCTTTCGCATCAGGGGCCTTTGCATCGGAAAGGCACCTGTTAATAATGGACCACAACACAATCTCTACTTAGAGGAGGAAGGAGAAAGGAGGCCAAGCTAGGGGGCAGGAGAGGGGAAGAGGACAATGCTAAGTGAGTGTCCCGTGCCCTCCTGATCCTTCTGAAAGATCGTCATCAACAGAAGCTTGCTCCCAGGGGCCTATAACCGCGGCGATTACTGCAGTAGCCACTAGATGGACACCTGTGGCTACCCAACACTTGAGTGTGGCCCATCCAAATTGAGCCTCGAAAGCTAACTCAAGGTAAATGTAAAGACAGCTAAAAGTTAATAAAGTACATCATCAGTGATCATTAGGCTTTTATATAACCTCATCAAGTTAAAAATGGTCCTTTGTAGTTTTATAAAAGCTTTGCTACATAAAATACACCAAAAGAATATTATAAACAAAATATAATGATATAAGTATAAAGATGTCATGATAAAATTCCTTTGCATAATAACTTAATTTAGAGAAAGAATGATCTAGCTTGGCATGGTGGAACAGGTATTTAAGGCCATTTTTTTTAAAAAGATGTATTTATTTATTGTGTATACAGTGTTTTCCCTGCATGCCTGTATGCCTGCAGGCCAGAAGAGTTCACTAGGTCTCATTACAGATGGGTGAAAGCCACCATGTGGTTGCTGAGAATTGGACTCAGGACCTCTGAAAGAGTAGCCATCGCTCTTAATCTCTGAGCCATCGCTCCAGCCCTAAACCCAATATTTTAAATCCAGCACTCTGGAAGATGAGGTAGGACAATCATGAGCTCAAAGCCAGCTACACAGTGAGACCCTGTAATAAATATGACTGAGGAAGCACCAGAATGTAATATCAGATATGACTCTCAGCACAGAAAAACTGTATTTATTCTATAATTATTTCCTAAAAGATACCCATTGGTTTCCCCTAAATATTGTTAGATTTGTATACACTTTGGAATTATCTGGATAAGGAAACAGGTTCAGAATGAAGACACCTGCAGAGGAGCACTACAGAGACTCAGGATCAGCCTAGAATGGCCAGTCACAGGTGTTGGGGGGGGGGCTGTGTCCCTTGATTCTACCACAATTCATGAAAATGAGAAAAGCCCTTCAAACCATCTAACAGCCAGGATCATGAATATTTGCACAATGGAAATCCTTATCCCATGTTATTCTAAGAGGACTTAATGGTTACCATGAGCAGGACAGAATGACATACATAAAATACATAATTTAGATTCCTACTCAAATCTATCTCAGAGTACATTACAACTTCCAACAGTCTTTTCCTAGATGAACAACCAGATCCTCCCTACACTGAGGTACAGTGAACACTGGCCTCGCTTTCTAAACTTGGAAATCTGAGATTCAGAGGTCTAATTACTTCCTCAAGGGTGTAGAAAGCTAAACCTAGGACTAAAATTCCATCTTCTGGTCCTTAACCAATGTCACTACTTTATCTTACCTACAATTACTTTTATCTACACTACATTTACATCCATACAGTCATCTCCATAAAATGTGATACACTTACCTCATACAGAGAGAACATTCAAAATCGGAGACATCTATTAATTCTTCTGGGATGTCACCATAAGCTAATGAAAACACACAGTCTTCACTGGGAGATTCTATTCAAATGAACACACAGGGTTTTACTCTTTAGGGGGAAAAGCTCAAAGGCCATTCTGAATCAATACTTTGGTGGGGTAAGGGTAGAACAGAAGCCTTACCACCTTGCTTTTTCAGCTTATTCCTCCCATCTTCATTAATAACCACATCCTGCTCTAAGAGAGACAGCTTTCTTTTCAGCAGAACACCTTTTCCCTGAGCAGACAGTAGAGGCTCTGAGGACACCCGCTTTAAGCCATCCTCTCTGGCAGGCACTGCCGCCGCCGCATTGATGACTTGTGCTGACTGAGCACGGTTTAAGCTCCCTTTGACAGGCTCTGGGGCCTCCTCTGGTTGTTCGTGAGTCTGTAGAACACAATGAACAAAGGTAACTCTCTTCATTGTCTTTAGTCTTCTTGCCCAGAAGAAAAATGGAAGGGAGATTTATAACGTGCGTTTGAACACTCATTTAACAGAACTTTCATTCTAAAATTGGGCAAGTAAATGACTTTTGTTCGTATTCACACAGCCTTAGACATCAAGCTGACTGATGTCACAGTGATGTTTAAAGCAGAGACAATAATGTAGATGCTCCTAGACGGAGAATAAGATATTTACAACCTCTGATGTTCTAAAACACTGGAAATTCTCTGACAGTAAAGTGACCTAAAATGGTGGTCAGTGAGAAAATATTCTAAAGATAGAGCTTTAGTATAAATCAAAAACTGCAGACAAGATCCAGTTACTACAACTAGATAGGCAATACGCACTTAAGCAGGTCTCAGTGTTTGACCATGAGAGGGCCTTAGCTGTGAGGAGGTCAGGGATACAGAGCAAATGGTCATCTTTTCCACCCCTTACCTGCTTCAGCATGAGCTCACCAGGAGAGTGAGGCCCTTCCACTACTGAAGGAAAGCCGAAAGATTTGCTTTTAATACACGGTAATGAACTCCAGGAAGACTCCTTCAGACCTTCCTTTAAGTTTTCAGGGGACAATAAGTCACACAAAATCTGTAAGAAATATTATAAAAATATAATAGAAGATATGTACTATCTGGCGAAAAACAACAATATAAACTTATCTATTCAAATTCTGGGAGGCGTTGTACCAGATATTATTTTTAATGATCAGGAAAAAAATCGATAAATTTTAAAGGTTTCCAACTATGGTCTCATCAGGAACCATATCATGTCAAGAAAAAAAAAGGGGGGGTGTCAAACCTTTGAAAGAAAGGAAAGTGGCCTGAGAAGGTACTCAAGGGAAAGGCTGGCTTTTTAAACATAAGGATTATAAAGGGAAGAAATTGAAAGAGAAGCAGAAACTATTTAATCTAGTGGTGGGCCCTATTCTGTCAACACAGATCAAGGTATCTACTACAGTCTATTTTCAGGATGCAGCTGGAGTACTGTGGTGTGTGTGAACGGAAGAATCTGAACTCAAACACAAAACTCTAAAGGTCCCATGTTTACACTGATCCTAGCCAGTCACTGACCAACTACCCATATGGCAGCCTGGGTTGTTAGGCACGCACTTGGGAGCAAAGAGCTGCCCTGCAAGAGCTGGGGGTTCAGATGCAGCTGGCGGCACCATCAAACCTTCTGGGTGTTCACTCCGACAAACAGGTTTATTGAGATAGAGGGAATTACTAGTTGAAAGAAAAAGGTGTTTTATAAAATGCCATATTTCTGTGTGCAGCAGGGTATTTCATAAACTCTACCTATGAGTGTGCCACCACTCAAACACACAGAATTTGCTACTCACAAATCAGTGTAAGGAAATATATGTAGTGTGACTGGAGTATGTCTTCTGTAGGTGTTCAAGCAATAATCCAGTTAATACAAAGCCATCTGGGGCCTCGGATGTAGCTCACTGGTAAAGAGCTCTCATGCAGAACATGCAAGCCTCAGAGTGTCGACCTAGATACTGCAAAAACTAAAACATCAAAAAAATCTATCACATACATGTTCATGTTTCCTCTAATTAAAAAAGGAAATGTACTAAACATGCCCCTACTCTAGAACTCAGCAACTCCTCTCCTAGGTATTTTCCATGAAATGCTTTGAAATGACAGTGTAACAAACATCACCACCACCTCCAAAAGAACATCACAGAAGCAAAGCAAATGAAGACCATTACAAACTGAAAACCACAAACTGTGGTGGATTCATGTGATGGGACACTTGGTCAAAACCAAAAGTCCCACAAACATTATGTAAGCAAATGGAAACCCAGAGTATACATTGCATGTTTCCATTCATATAAAATTCTAGAATAGGCAGAGTTTTCATGTGGGGACAGGAATCTGAATGGCAGCTTTCTTGGGAGAACTGGGATGGAGAACTGACTGGAAAGGAACTGTTCGGAGATTATAGAAGCAGCTGTCACACTGCTACGTACATCTCTAAAATCTCGCTGAACTGTAATGTTTACCTACGTTATATGTATAGCGCTCCACCATTTGTAGGAAATCCTTACCAAAGAGGAGGATGCCCACAAGCATGGAAGATGCAAAGCTCCAATCTTCTTCAGTGTCTGCAGCCTCACCAGGAGGTAACGTACCTGACACTGATGCAGGTGACCCTTACAAAAGGCCACAAGGGACAAGTGATGTGGCACATCCTGTGAACACTGAGGTCACATGCCTGGGGATCTAAATCGGGATGTTCCTCAAAGAATTTTCAAAGACCCTCTCTTTTCAGATGCTGTGTCAGTTTGGCTAGAGCTAAATGTCGGTTTTCGTTTGTTTCCATGATGACACCTGCTTAACTTGCTTTGAGTCGATCTTTCCTCTGAAGTATCTCATCATGGAACTCTCACCCCTTGCTTCCCGCACCTTCCCTCCCTCGCTGTCTCCTAAAACAGCCCTTCTCTCAACCATTACAGGGCAATCTATAGACACAGACGTGTGGCGTGCTGAGACCAAACACGCCGAGTGGGCCAGCACTTCTGTCAACCGGGGAAGGGACAGGCCTGAGTGAGGGCACAGGCAGGTCCAGAGCCTCCTGAGTGGGGCACAAAAAGCAGTTTTCCTTAGAGACTGTCAGTGTGGTTCTCAATGAACAGAGTACAGCCTTTCCCAAAGTGCTCCGCCCAGTTTCAATTAATTAATTCTTTTTCTTTTTTAAATTTTGGAGTACTTATAGTGAGGTACCTTGGGGATGGGCCACACGTCTAAACACAAAATTTGTCTGTCTGTATCTTGTACCCATAAACTGAAGGCCATTTTGTATCATGTTTTCAGTGCTCTTGTGTTTAGTGTTTTGACGATGATCAATCAGTCATATGAGGTCAAAAATGAACTTTTCACATATGGCATGGCATCTCATCCCCAAGGTTTCAGATTTTTTGATTTTTAAATTAGGGATGTTCAAACTAAATCTGGAAGTATCTGCATTAATTAAGCAAAACTACTACACTGAAATATCTGTGAATGAAATTTCTTGGTTTCGTCAAGAATGGAGATAAGAACATGCTTGTCAAATGGCTCCTCACATAAAATTCCTCCTTACATTCCATGTGTCACCCTTTTTTAAAGAGCTTGGTGGGCGTTGTCCTGGTTTGTGCAATGATGATGTCAGCCCGGGCTTAGACAATGGAGGAGTGGTAAATGCATTACCTTTTCTACTTGCAGCTTTGCAGGTGCAAAGTCTTCATCCAGGGCTAAGCACTGGAGGAAGAGCTGTAAGGCATCGCCAAGGAACCCGGCGTCCTGGAGGACTTTCCCCTTCCTGAAGTAGACCTTCAACAAAGCACATACCACGCTTTATGCACAGAACTCTTGCCCAAAACCATCCAGGAAACAAAGGTTTCTCAGATATGCTAATTTTGCAACTAACGGTCTCTGAGAAGGACAAAGCATGTGAAAGCCTACTTGCTACTCCAAAGAAGTGCTACTGGGGAAACTGAGGCCCTCAAAATGATTGGACCAAAGTTCATAGCGGTTAGTGTTCTCAAGACCAGGGATCCATCTTCACTTGAGAAATTACTGATGTGCAGACTTATCTTTTACGTGTGTGTGTCTGTCTCTGTGTGTACATGCAGGTGCCCGAGGAGGCCAGAAGAGGGTGTCAGAATCCCCAGGAAGGAGAGTTAACATGTGGTGTGAACTACCTTCCCTGGGTGCTGAAACTGAATTCAGCTCCTCTGGAAAAGCAACAAGTGACCTTAACTGCTAAATCCCCAAATCACCAATTTAAAGACTACTCATGTAAGGGTAATGTTGATTGAACTCATGTTGTTTGATGGAAACAGAAGATAACATGTAGAATTTATTGACTTTAAAATATATAAAAGCATGTGTTAATAACCATGTAAAAACCTCTTCTTTAAATCTGGGCAAATAATATTAATATTTAAACTATGAGTTTCTTCTTCCAATACATTGAATAGATCATTACCAGTTACAAATAATTTCAATAAAATTTAAACAATTACTGTTTAACTATTAGTGACAAATAATCTAGGTAAAATTTAAGTCATTATCTTGTAGCTGTTAACAAACAGAAATTGCTATTAAACTTTTAAATATGTCTAGTGAACAACCTGTGTATGTAATTCAACACCTCATGCTATGGCGGGCTGTATATTCACGCTAAAATATGATGTTCATACTATCTACACAATGTGAGAGAATCTAAGTGATCAATTAACTGGATTCCATGCTACAAATTCCCCGTGGTTATAACTACTACCCTCAGTTCCAATTCTCTCTCTCTCTCCATACGCAGATATATTCAAATCTATGTAGACACATACATATATAAAATGGTCTTTGGAAGGTAGAATTATTCTTTGAGGACATTTTATAATTAAAACAATTAAATAAACATATTTATTAAAAAGCTTTTATAAAATTAAACATGGTAAACATAAAAACAATACTTTTTTTAAAGTGAAAAAAATTCAGAGCAACAAGTCCATGTCTCCCAAGATACTAAGTAGTGTATCTTTCTCTTTAATCTGTCTTAAATAAGTACAGTTGCAACCTTATCAAAATCCTTGTCCTGTCTTCCTTTTCTCCATGATATGAGTTCGTCCCATCAAAAGGCAAATCCTAGAAACCACCATTAATTCAGCAAAGATGAAGTGTGTGGGTCACTTCCACAGCAGGCAGTTTGGAAACACCTCATGTGGTCAGGAGTGGTCTCACCAGTCACAGGATCATAAAATCTAAACAGCTTTAAAGGAGGCTAACGACTGTTCGAGTCGGCTCTGGCTGATGCCACCTTGTAGGCCCCAGGGCTCTGCCTGTCTCTGCCTCCCTGGCACTTGGACTATAAACCTGGACCAAGACACCTGGTTTTTACACGGGTCCTAGGTTTGAACTTGGGTCTTTAAGCTTGTTTGGTAAACACTTCATTGACTTAGCTCCAAACTATATATTCATCTGAGGCCAACCAGCCATTCTGTTATGACCTGTAGCTATAACTGAAGTCCTCATGGCCGCCACTGTCAAGTTCACGCAAATGCGAACAGTCACTTTACCTCGGGCCAGTTTGGAAGCTGAAAGAGAACTGCGTTTAGATCCTCTATGGCTGCTTTAAACTCCTGGAGGCCAGCATAGGACTCCGCTCTGTAGATTTTGAGAGTCAGGTCACTTGGCTCTGAAATAAACAATTCACAAAGACATGATTATTTTAGAATGATTACTATGATAATCCGCAAAACACTGTCGTACTAGCTTAAGAAAAACTTGTTATTTCAAAGTCAATTAACTGCCAAATTTAAAGCTTACAAACCAAGTACAGCATTGGCACAACACACTTCTTATGTCAAAAGTTGAACAGAAGTTTTATCATAAGATCATTTTAGTGACAAGAATGATAATTAGGGATACTGAAAATGTTTTTGTGATAAAAATTACTTATAAGAAAACTTTTTTTCCAACAAAGTACTCCATAAAGATTTCCAAGCCATGTCTTACATGTTTAGAAAACTTGCCTTTTTGAAATTTTATCAATTAAAATATAATTATATTACTCACCCTTGAGACTTTAATTTATAAATCACTGTTTATAAAAACAAACAAACAAAACAAAAACACTTCAGATGAAAAGTTCCACAGTGACATGGAAGTGGCCAAGGCTCAGTCTCATGAGGGAGTAAGTGTCCTGACTCTTAAGGGAATGGACTGATCAGAATTAGTTCGTGGTCAAATCTTTCATTCCCAGCCACAGCAGGACTCGTACCTACACAGAGACATCTAATTTCAAATGCTCCTGGAAATCACTCACTGTTACCTTCACACGTGTGCTTCAGAAACTTAACTATTATCCGATGGCTTTAGAAGTCAGCCACTTAGCCAGGCGGTGGCGGCGCACGCCTTTAATCCCAGCACTCGGGAGGCAGAGTCAGGTGGATTTCTGTCAGTTCGAGGCTGGTCTGGTCCGACAGCCTCCAAAACAATACAGAGAAACCTTGTCTCGTAAAAAAAAAAAAAAAAAAAGAAGCCAGCCACTTAGCTGTCCTCTATTACCTTAATTAATTACTGCAGGTAGACAAACTGTCAGCTGAAGCCTAAGCAAAAATTTAATAAATGGTTGGTGAAGTTCAGTTGAGTCTTTTTTTTATCGTTTATTTTATTTTATTTTCCAGTTTAAATTTAGATAAGAAACAAGGTTGCTTCACAAGTCAGTTCCAGGTCCCTCTCCCTTTCCCTCCCCTCCTCCCGTGCCCTCCCCCCAACCCCCCCCTGTTATCCCCTCATTCCCCCAGGGAGGGTGAGGCCCTCCATGGGGGTGTCCATAGTCTGTCATTTCATATAGGGCAGGGCCTAGACCCTTCCCCAAGAGTTCAGGGTGAGAGTGCATCTCACATTGTTCTATGGGAGTCCAAAGTCCATGTGTATACTTGGGATGAGTACTGATCTACTGCCCAAGGCTCAATAGATTACCTAGGCCTGCTCACTGACACCCAGATTCAGGGGGTCTTGATCAGTCCTGTGCTGGATTCCCAGGCTGATGCCTGGGATTCAAGAGCTAACCTTTGTCTGGTCAGCTGTTTCTGGGGGTTAAACCAGCCCAGTCTTAATCCCTTTGATCATCAGTCCTCCCCCTCTGTTACTGGCTTTCTTGAGTTCAGCTCAGTTTTAAAGCTATTCATTTTGAGCCTTCATGACCTTATACTTATAGAATAAACTATTTGTTGTAAAAAGGACACAATGCCTCCAAAAATACATTCAATGAAATCCAATTGCTCCTAGTTTACTCTAGTTTTTAAGTTGTGTTCTCTGCAGATAGTCCCACTTTAACAACTCCATCAGGCACTTTGAAGCTTCTACAGCATGCTTGAGAACTGGAGCGATATTGTCTCCTCAATTTTACATCAATGAAAAATCTTGAATTAATATTTCATGAGAAATACCTTACTTCCTAAACAAAAAGTCATGGTGCTGCACCTAGGAGCTTGCAATGGCAGTGACAGCTTGAGGAAGCCCCATGAACATCCTCAAGCCAGAGCAAAGCCCAGCATGGAGACGGGGCGTGCCCACGAAGTCCCACTCCTAGAGGAGGAACCTAGCAGCTGCTAGCTGCGGGGAGACAAGAATGGATTTCTTTAAGACTGCAGCCAATGGGTAAGTCAACCAACCATGCTCCGGCGGAAGGCCGCGCATCCAAGAATCCATGGACCACACAAGTTACATTTGGTGGGTGGGGAAGAAGGAGGAGAACACAAAACTGGGGGGGAGGAGTGGATCTGGGAGGAACTGAGAGAAAGGGTGAACATCACCCAAACTTGTTGCATGAAATTCCCAGACCTGATAAAAAAGACACGACAAAAATTCCATGTTTCTTCTTAAAGTGATACCTTAAAACTAATCTCTGAAAAAAAAAACTGTACAGAAAATTTAAAAGCCTGGTGATTAATCAGCCAACAATTAAGCTGGAGTCTGTGAGCGCTCAAGCTCCCTTACATTCCACCTGCCTCTGAGCATCTTATCCAATGAAGACGCAGCATCAGCAGCGCTGACTGGGGAACAGAGTGTGCGTGCCAACACGGTCCAACGCTGTCCACAAGTGAGCATCCAGGAAATGGGATTCTGCATCACACTCGGGCTTCCAGCCACCAGGGTGAGGCAGAGCCCTATCAAGAGGGAGTTCGCCGTGGAAGCGCAGCCCACTCCGTCTTTGGACTCCTTGGTGGGCTGTTTTTCCTTTCGCATGTTTACCGCAAGTTCTCACCATGCTTGACACACAGAGTACACTCAGATCTTCCTATCCACCTGCCAGGATTGGAATATGAAATGTCTCCCTCCTGCTCCTGTAAGAGCTTGGCCTCCAGCTGCAGGCTGTCTGGGGAGGTTGGGGGAAGCTTTGCAGTTGGGGTCCAGATGGTAGATACTACTGGAACATGGCCGTGGGGCTAGAGGGTTATAACCTAGCTGGTTTCCAGCCTGACAAGCTTCCTGGTTGGTGTCATGTACAGTGCAGAAGGCCCCCGTAGGCCACCACCATGAAGCCACCCTCGCCATGCTTTCCTGGTCACTATGCATAAGCATACGCCATTATAAACCGAGAAAAGAAACTGTCCTCACTCTGACAAAAGTGGAGAGGGGGTCAATCTTCTCTACAAGCACTCAGCTTCGTAGCACCCAAAGCCCGCTCTAAAAAGTGGGCATAGTTGGAATAAGAAAAGATAGGAAAACACAGAGAGAATTTAAAACTCTTGCCCAGATCCTTGTAGATCAAATGTTAATGGAATAACTATTCTGAATGACTTCATTAGAAAACAGCATCAGCCGCATCATCTAGCTTACACTTCCGTCACTTCTGAAGAGAGCAGGCCCACTCCCCTCACCTCCCATCCTCAATTCCACAAGGGAGCCAAGCACACTAGTTCAGGCCCTTTGGATATCCAAACATACAGAATGCTTACTCTCGACATACACTTTCAAGAAAGGCAACTGAAAATAGCAATCTGCCCTGGCTGTGCCATCGACTGAAGCTTGCAAGTCAACAGTGATGACCCACCTGCTCCATCGGCACTTGAAGACCCTGGAGCAAACAAAGGACGTCACCGCCTGTGACATCATGGAGGAGCTCCAGTTCACTACTACAGGTGCCCACGCACCCAGCATGCCTGGCACATTATCCACTGTTGAAAAGGTAGTCACTGAGATAACACGGCGTGGGCTAACCTTACTGAGGGTAATTGCTGTGGTGCTTATACCCTGGCATGGGAGTACTCACCTGGCACCTCAACATTCAGGAGTCTGCAAGATCCTGAATTATAGGCTAGCCTGGGCTACCTGATAGATTCTAGGGCTACATGGTGACACCTGGCCAAAACAAATGAACAAAAAGGTCTTGAACCCTGTGATCTAAACTGGCTGTCTCCTGCCACCAGCACCAGGCACAGATCTCCTTGTTTGCCATTATTTACCTTTAGGGCCTGACACCTCAGTCTTGAATTTTCACCCTGACTTCACAATCGTATTTCCATCCGCTTGCTACAGCTAGCCTCAACTCAGCTTGTTTTCATCAAACAGTACTTTCTCTTTTCTATTAGTGATACCAATGACTTTCCAAATCAAAGTCATCCTTTGCAATGCCAAGTCTCTCTTCTCGTTTCCAGTTCTCCTGCCAGGAGTCCTAAGTTAGGCTGCTAGACGCTCTTCAGTCCCATTAGGAAAGCTAGCTTTCTCTCCACTGGCTTACCGTCTTCTCCATCTGGGCACAAGACAGAGGTGTTATTGAGGGCCCTGATTCCTACAGCCTTACTTCTTATCACTCCCATGCCCCATTTCAATCCCCGATGAGACGACTGCCCTGTGGATGCCATTCCACGTCCTGACTCCTCCCAAGCAGGTCTTCCTTCCTCGTCATTCTGTCCCTTACAAAGCCCTTTTCTTCTCTGGATGACTTTTCCATCCAACCTGACTCAGCTCACCAACCCCCTTTCCAGGACACGTCTCACTGGAGTCTTCCTTGGTACAGAATATCATTAGGATCAACAACATGTGAAGTCAGACTACTTCCCAGAAGCCCCGACTTGCTGTCGTCTGTGGCAAATGACAAATATCCTTTATGTGACTTAGCTATGACTGAAGAGCATTTAAAACTTTAAAAACAAATCTCGTGAAATAGAACAGGTGTGCATATGCCACAGCACCCATGTGGAGGTCAGAGGTCAATCTCAAGCATCAAGTCCTCAGTTTCTACCTAAAGACAACATCTTTGGTTCCTTGCTGTAGATGCCAGGCTGCTTGGCCACTCAGCTTCTTAAGGTTTTCACTTTTGTCTCTCACCCCACTATAGCTAAGCTAAGATTATCAACGCACACTATTACTGCAGCTAGCTTTACTTGAGTCTTCCAGAGATTCAAACTCAAGTCCTTACAACTGTGCTTTCCTTAGTAAGATATCGCCTCACACCTGAAATTTATTTTTTTTTGAACCTGGGCCTGGTGGTGTGAATTTTTAACCTCAGGTACTAGGGAGACAGAAGCTGGAAGATCTCAAGTTCAAGGTCTGCCTAGGCAACTTAGTGAGGCCTGTCAAAATAAAACGTGCAAAGGACTGGGGATAAAGCCTGGTGCTGTAGGGCTTGCCCAGCATGCATGAGACCCCATGTGGGTAGGTTTGAGGTAGGATGGGGAACTTGAG